TACACACACACACACACACACACACACACACACACACACACACACACACACTCAAACATACACAATTTCCGCCAGGGCTTAGGTGAATAGAAAATATCCGAATAAAACAACAGACCACACAGCATAACAAATGGACGAGGCGATACGTTCTGATGAGGAGGAGGGTGAGGAGGAGGAGGGGGAGGAGGAGGAAGAAGAATTAGAGGAAGAAGAGGACAAAGAAAAAGAGAAGGAGGAGGGGGAGGAGGAGGAGGGTGGAGTGCTGGATTCAGAAGAGGAGGAGGAGGGAGGATCTGGACCGAGACAGCCCTGAAAGACGAACGCTTTGATCATCTTGAGGGAGGCGTCCGGCCGATCGTACGGCGTGTTGTGACCCGCCCCGTGGACTATGACCCTGCACAGGTCACCCACCCTGGTGTAGTATCCCAGGAGCGTGTCCCCTTCCCGCCACACCTCGCGCGTGCTGCCGTTATAAGTGGCCTGGAGTGACCACGGGGTGGACAGCAGCGCCTCTTCCGTCATCACGGCGCTCACGATAGCGTCGTAGTTCCCGTTAAACAACAGCACCTTGTAGTTGTCCATGAGGACGGCCAGCTCTCGCTTGGTGCTCCGGAAGCCGTCTAGGAAATACCACACGAGGAGCGCCGTGTTGATGGACCGGAAGTCCGTCCTAGTTCCCACGTGCAGCTGTCTGCGCATGTCCGGGGACGTCATGATGTGATTCACCACCTTCTCGTATCGCAGTCGATCCATGTGGTTCACAAAGTTATACAGATTGATTCCTCTCCTGATCTGAAGAGGGAACATCACTTCTGCAACGGAAGAAAAAGTTTCGTTAACCAACCCCGTGAGGAGGTAATCCTGGTACAGGTCTCTAACAGCTGACGTCATATGACACAGATCGCTGTGGCTCAAGATACCCAAAGCGTAGGGCAGCTTGAAGAAGCTCTCCAGCATTGTGGGCGGGTCGAAAAAAGCCCCGCCCACGTACACGCCCACCAGCGGGAGAACATGTGAGCCAGCCACGATGTCTTGGTGGAGTTTGTAGGCCAGGGCTGGCACATACTTGCCGGCGTATGATTGGCCCCCGAGGTAGAGTGCTCGCTGGTGTAGCCAGGGGAAGAGGGCGTAGAACTGGTGGATGAAGGTGTAGAGCTCTTCGGTGTACTCGTCCTGGTCTTTGGGGTAGGTGGCGGAGCCGCTGGATGAGAAACTGGATACACAAGGGT